TCCTTATTCTGCTGTGTGCCAAAGTAAAAATTAAAGAAGGAAGGAATAAACACAAGAGATTCACTCTCTTACTAAATGCCTTTTGACCTAAATCTGGTTGCCTTAAAAGGTACTACAGTGAAATATGTTTTCATACATTTAAGAACAGTTAGTATTCATTTAACCCTAAGTATATCATGAGAATAAATATAGAAAAATCCTCAATTGTAATTATTTGATATTTTCTGTCTCCCCAGGGAAGTGGTTTCTTTCAGGTGTTAGATTATTGCCCATGGCATTAGTCATTTCTAATGACATCTTCCTTATACAATTATGCAAGAAAAAGTTGGCTTCTTTTTAATAATCCAGTAGAGCAGTAATCTTTACTTTTTCAATTAAAAATTAATTTGCCTCCTAATGAAGACAAATAAAACATCAAATCTAATTAAGTATGTGTGAAAGGTGGTGTTAGCCGCCGTGAAGAGCCACACCAGACAGCACACTACAGAAATAGGAAAACTGAAGCTCATCTCATGGTACACCTCCCACTGGAAGGTCCTAGGGGTAAGGCAGCTACAGACTATTATTCTTCCTTTTGTTTTAATTGCTTTTAATAGATGAGCTAGAAAAAGAATGATACATAATGCATCCCCATGCTTTGCATTAAGGTACACAGAACAATGTGCCAGGTGCCAAGTTTATAACAGTATACTTTAAGAATGAGTTTATTTTTTTCAGTGATATTTTCCTTGTCTCGGTGTCACTGAGCTAGGAAAAAGGGCTGTGTAGCCGAGGTGGCTGGGGATGTGGAGATGGCTAAGTCTATAACGTGCTTTCTGTACACACATGAGGAACTGATCTATGACCCCTAGCACCCACATAAAAAGTCAGGTGTAAACAGAGGTGGAGCCTTTCTGTCTCCACCACCTGGTTCCAAAGAAACACAGAGAAGCTTATATTAATTATAAATTATTTGGCCAATTATAAAATGTTTGGCCAATGGCTCAGGCTTAACTAGCTCTTACATTTAAATTAACCCATTTTTATTCATTTGTGTATTGCCACGTGACCATGGCTTTACTGGTCCCTGGTATCTTGCTTCTTGGGTGGCTGGCTCAAGTCTTTCCAGACTCTACCCTTCTCCATCAGAGTCCTCAATTTGATTATTCCACCAAACCTTATCCAGCCTTGCCACTGACCAAACAGCTTTATTATCAACCAATGAGAGCAACACATATTCACAGCACACAGAAGGACCATCCCACAGCAGCCAGGCATTGTGATTGATTCCTATAAACCTAGCACTGGAGAAGCACAGGCAGGATCTCAAAGCCTGGGTAGCTAGGTAGTCATGCAGAATCTAATGAGCTTCTGGCTCAATGAGAGACCCTGTCTCAAAAGACAAACAAACAAACGAATTAATTAATTAATTAATTAATTAATTAATTAATTAAAATGGTAGAGAGTTATCAAGGAAGACAACTGACTCTGAATTAGGCCTTCACATGCAGGAGCACATATTTACATATGCATTCCTATGCACAAATACACACACACACATGAACATGTACACATACATGCTACACAAACAAAATGACTAGGCAAATAAATAAACAAAGATAAAAAATGAAGAATTGAAAGGTGTCCTGGAATTTAAAAAAATAATAACAACGAAAGTCAAAGCATGTCCAAGGGAAGACAATTTGTCTTAAAATTACTGAACAGTGAAATTTATTAGAAGAAAAAGTAATAGTATTTGTCTTAGTCAAAGTTCTGTGGCTGTGAAGAGACACTATGACCATGGCAACTCTTATAAAGGAAAGCATTTAATTGGGGCTGGCTTACAGTTCAGAGGTTTAGTCCATTGTCATCATGATGGGAAGCATGGTGGCATGCAGGCAGACATGGTGCTGGAGAGGTAGCTGAGAGTTCTACATCTGAATCTGCAAGCAGCAGAAGAGAGCTACTGGGTCTGTCTTGGGCTTCTGAATCCCCAAAGCTTTCCCCAGTGACACACTTCTTCCACACATACTCCAACAAGGCCATACCTCCTACTTTCATTCCCAAAGCACTGAAAAATGTGTCTATGGGAGCCATTCTTATTCAAACCACCATAGTATTGATGATAGATATAGAACCATTCACTCACAATTTCACTTTCTCTACTTTTGTTTATTTACAATCAACTGAAAATATAATCAGTTTGAAAATATAAAATGGAACACTCTAGAGGTTAATATTCAGAAATTCTAGTTGTGCTGTGCTGAGTACTGTAATGATGCCACATCATCCATTCAGATGCAACTGCCATGTAAATGTTCCATTTATTTCATATATCCTTGTTGTATACTCTCCTGCTCTCTGGTCAAACAGATGCTGGCTCTGTTATTAAGCTGACTGACTGTCACAGTAGTACAGGCCTTGTGTGTGGGTTGCCATATTTGACTTAATATGGGCCCTGAAATAAAACAGCAGTGATACAAAGAAAGTGCTAGTGTACAATGCATATAACCATCAGACTAAATCTGGGACTATATGCCAACCTTGGAGTGCATTAAAACCCAATAACCTTGCATCTACTAGGGTGTTGTGCTATGGTTTCAGGCAATCTAAACACCCCTTACACACTAGGAAAAATGACTAAAGTTAAATTTTTTTGTATTTTCCTTGAAGAACCCACTAAATTTTAGGCACTATGTTAGTTTGTGAAGGTGATTAATAATGGATCCTCTACTTAAACATTTTAATAGATAAGATAAAGATCCATAATAATTACTTCATTGTGTTTAAAATATTAAAATGGAAATGGTTCACAGTGATGTTGGTTCACAGTGATGTTGGAACTCAGAGAGTGTGTGACTAATTCTGTCCTAAAGAACCAGAAAATTATTAACAAGAAAAACAGAAGTGTATTTTAAAGTAGAATACAATTCCAAGTAAAATAAACCAGAGCTGGAAAGATGGCTCAGTGGTCAAGAGCACTGTCTGCTCCTCCAGAGGTCCCTGGTTCTATTCCCAGTACCCACACAGGAGCCCACAATCACCTGTAACTCCAATCCCAGAGGATCTGATGTCCCCTGTTGGCCTCCACAGGTCCTGTAGGTGTGAAGTGCACAGACATACATGCAAGCAAAACACCCATACAAATGAAAACAAACCCAAATATCATATACCCAAAGATATGTGACATTTTATACTACCTTGTAATTACTTATCCTGTCACCCATGGGCAAGTACAACTCTCACTTCTCATTAGAGCAGATTCTTTATGCATCAGATGGTGACTAATACAGACTTAAAAATGGTCAAAATAAATGACCATGGAGTTCTCAGCCATTATTAAACATCCATATCACACAATCTCCAAAGCTCGAGGGACCATCACAAAAAAAGGTAGCAGAAAGATTGTAAGAGCCAAAGGTCAGACAAGATTCTAAAATAATGTCTTCTGGACATGCAAGGACCTTGAGCTCAGAAACTCAAACCAGCTGTGGTTGCCAGCACAAGATCTATACAATATCAAGCCACCTAACAGTCCAGTATGGAGAGGGAAGAGATTCATGTGAAGTCACTCCTGGCTGAGGACTATTGGGAGTTGATGGCCACCAAGAGGAGTTAGTTTTCTTCAGCAGTGTGGCTGATGTCCATGCTCAGTAAACTCTGATCACTCTACAGCCATATGCATGTATACTGCATTAATTGTACTCAGTGGGTCATTCAAAATAAATAGAAGACTTAAAATTGAAAATGATGAGTGTCTGAGAATGGTATGTGCTGAGAAGTTCTAGGAAGAATTGAGGAGGGACACAGGAGAACATATGCTCTAAATACATCGTGTTTATGAATAAAATTACAAAATAATGAATAAACTAAAAGGAAATGAAAATTTTATGATGTTTTTATGATAAGTAGAATAATATTTGCAATATTTTCAGTATTTCTTGTGCATTATTCTAAGAAGGCACTATCATGGAATAGAGGTTACAAGTGTGTATAAGAGTGTGTTTAACACTTTCTGTAGAATAGATTAAACATCGTAAGAAATTTATTATTTGTTCATTTTAAAAGATTTTCTTAACTACTGTATGATTTGGTGTATGGTCAGATTCTTATTTCAGAAGATAAGTGGTTCACATTGCTTGCTATAAGAATAGGCAGAAGTCCAGACTGGCACATGCCTTTAACCCTGGCATTTGGGAGGCAGAAGCAGACAGATGTCTATGGGTTTGAAGCCAGTCTGGTCTGCAGAATGAATTCCAGGGCAGCTAGGACTATGCAAAAAAAAAAAAAAAAAAACCTTGTCTGCTTCATTTCATATGTGGTTCATGTGAATGATACTAGATGCTACTTGAGAGGCTTGGTAATAAATTAACACAGATACATTAAAACTGCCCCTGTCCTTATGAAATGTTGGTGTGAATATCACACTAGTCATCACAACTAAGCTGCATATGTAAAACTCAAGAGGATTAATTAAAAACAGGATATAAGAAAGAACACATTTTGTTGGGTAAGATGAGCTATACTCGCACACGAACTAAGAACTGAAAGATGAAAGACCATTGGTAAAGCAAACTATGTTTGGGAAGAAAGCATGGCTCTGCATTAGTGAGATTCCTGTCTCTGCTGTCAAGTGTTAAATATGGAAAAGAGTAATCACAATATATCACTCTCATTGTCAGGGCTGGGAACTTCTGGGTTTTGGAAATTGAATTTGATCGTCTTGGCCATCTATCTAATCATCTGGATAGCAATGATTGCCTCTCCAAATTCTAGGTCATTGTTATGAAGACTACCAGTACACAATTCCTATTCATTAAATAAGGTTCTTAATGAAGTAGTTAGTTAACACATGTTTACTTCTTGAATAAATGTGTAACCATGCATTCAAATTCACATTTTAGGTACAGAAGCCAGTGAGTAAAGGTCATGTTGTTAGAACAAAGAAAAAGATTAATTTCAAAACCAGCAAATCAAGGAAGATGGAGGTGAAGGATAACAAAGACTTTTTTCTCTTACAGATTGAAGATTCTTTAGGAATCATGGGGAGTTTTATCAGGACACAGTTGAAAACCAATGAAAATGCAAGCCCAAGCACTCTCAGGACTCATCACATCAGGTCAAGCAAGTAACAATCTCAAAAATAAGAAGAAATGAAATAAAACAACAAAAAATTATTAAAGACATATCAAGGTCTTGGAAGAGTATGGCAGTTTTGAAATGTAACAAACAAGAGTTATAGGAGAAGGGTTAGAGAGCATGAAGAATAATAGGCTATACTTGAATAAATAATTTCATTAGATCCAAATGAAGCCACTTGTTTGCAGATAAAATACAGCTGGAAGCATTCATTAAGCAAAGTCATTGACGTGTAGTAGATGCTCAGGAAATAGACATACTGCTATTAGCCTTGCTAAGCAGGAAGACACCACTATCACATTGGAAAGCAGTGTTTTGTACGGTATCAGGTTCAGGATTTCAAGATAGTCAATTTCCTATATTTAGATAGGAAGAACCCTATTAAATTATATGTGATTTTGAGTTTAATTAATAGTGATTTAATTTTACTCAAATCATGCTTGTAGGCATTGAAATTGTAGCTTAACAGCAAAATCTGTGTCTTGAAACAGATGGCTGTTGGATGCTTGTTGCTAGCTGATGGCTTGATTTACATGCTGCTACTGCTAAATAACCACTATAACAGCACAGGGTTTTCATCTCTACTCAAAAATGAATATCACAAGGATGGAGGACATTGTGGAACATACTCCCCTTGAGGTGATTGGGCTTTTTGCTAGAGCAAGACCTGTACAATTAAGGCTTGTTTTTTATTTCATAAAATTTACAAAACACTGACACTGTATAAGAGACTGTTACTCCTTCCAAAAGCTTCTCCCTTCAGTCTGTAGTTCCCCATGGGTTTGGGGCATTGAAAAAGGAAAGTAAAATCTGATACTTTATTATCATTGCCATTAAAAATAACTGTTCAGGAGATACTTTGATTTTGTGTTGCTTCCATGGTAAATAAAAATTTACTTGTAGGTAGCCAATATGAGCTAAGAATAATCAAGAGACTAGAAGACACATAGCATGGATTTTAGTGCCAGATATCAACTACCTTATACCATATTCCACATTCCATCTCCAAGCTCAGCATTCCTTACTGCAATATATTATAGGTTCTCATACCATAGTTGCCAGAGTATGTTGTGCTTTTTATGCTGGTATTAACTGGCATTGTAAAATTATATTTAGAGAAGTGGGGGAGACAGCACAGTGTTGACTTTGCAAGTGTAAGGAATCTGCATTTGGCTCTCTGAAACCCACACTAAGATACAAGCCAAGTTCAGCAGAGGCAGGAGAATTCTTGGCCTTGCTGGTGAGCTCCTCTTGCCAGATGGGTGTGCACCATATTCGTTGAGATCCTTTTAATCAAAACATGATAGAGAGCAATAGAGGGAAACACCCAGTATCAGTGTCCTGCCCTCACATACATATACATCACTCCCCACACACATTAACACATGTATGCAGACACAAGTTGAAAAATCATTGAGGTAAGAAATATATTACTGACTGTCAGTGCATTGGTTTGGACCTGCAAATTCCTATCACTTAATCATAAACACACATTAAACATCACACAGAGTATATTCATCTGAAGAAAGGAACTTACGTTGTTTGCTGCTAAATGTAAAAATGATCTTCATTACTGATTTTAAGACAGAATCTCACTACGTATCCCAGGCCAGGTGTTACGATGTGTGACACTTTTCCCTAGCCTTCTCCTTCCCTCTTCTTTTCTTTTTTCCTTTTCTTTCTCTTTTTTTTTCTGTGTGTGGTGGATGAAAACCAACTTCTACTAATACTTCCACTTATGATTTTCTGAACTGAACAGACAGTTGTCACCTCATATGAGGTCACAAATCAGCAGTCACACCACATGAAAATCATGCACTTGTTTGGTTAATCTGCCCTTTGTAAGAGGAGAAAACTTTACAAAACTTTGAGATTTTTTGTAAATTTGAGGGTACAAAGCATGATTCACTGTGGGCCAGAAGTCTGATGCTCGCCCAGGATGCTGAGTGCTTTCAAATGTCACTTTTCTACAGACAACCTTAACATTGAAACATGGATCCATAGTCCTTTTCTTGCTGAAGAAGGCATCAATGGCAAAGAACTTTCCAAAAATGACCTCATTCACTTAAGGAGAAACTCAATGTTAGGACAATTCAACACTGAATTTATTAAAAGAATATCATGTCTTCCTTTGACAGGAGCCTATGACTGTGAAGGTAGGTCAGCAACCAAAGTCCAGATTCTGTTTTCTGTTACATGAACCAGGGACTTTGCCTCGGTATTGCCATTAAAACTACAGTCGGAAATGATTGGATTTCAGAAGAAACTTGACCAGGGCCATCTCAGAAACATTAATAAAAATTTCAAATTGTATGCAAACCAAAGAATATCCTCAATATTAGGTTAAAATTGAAATGTACCATTCTTTTTTATTGTTCAATTAAATGGATTTCTTTCCTTTTCTTCAGAAAAATAATTACATTTTATATAAACAAAACAGTAAGACTTAGAAAACTATTATGTAAATATGTTTATGTACAATACTTTAATTTCCACTTAAACTCAAGCATACTACATAAAAATGATGGGAATATAGCTTATACATACTTCAGCAAGATTTTGTAATCCTATTTCCACAAAGTACTCATTAATGCCCATAGTATCAACCTATTTAAAAACAATTAAAATATATTGTGTTTATTAATTTATAAATATGCATATATAGTTTACAAATGCAATTGCATATGCATATATTTGTTGACTCTATATTCATTTTATATTCATTCTGAAGTATTGAGTAGATTAGGCAGACAGAATACAGTTCAGTAAATGCCCCATTTTGTTTCAGACATTGTGCTCCCAATCTGCCATGAATTCTGACACTTTCTTGATCTCTTTGCTCTGCTGGAGAATTAGTTATTAATATCTCTGCTTGTGAATTATAAAGGATCTGGACAATGATTTTTAAAAAATATAATAAGTGATGAAAACTAGCCAGAGAGGCTACATCAAACTACTTAAGATTTGAGAATAGCAAAGGGTAAAACAAGGCAGGGACAGAGCCGAAAACCTGGGCAGATTGAACATTAAAGAGTTTAAAACACGTGAATTCCTTAACAGCATACAGTACTGTGTGCATTAGTTACCCTTTTAAGAGAAGCATCTTAAAGGAAGACATTGTTTAGTGTGTCTCTTTTGAAAGATCTTTTGATAATTTAATGTGCCTGTCTGTGCCTACATGAGATTACGTGCACCAAGTCCATGCATGTGTCTGTGGAGGTTTGCAGAGGGTCTTGGATGCCCTGGAACTGTTGTGACAGGCAGTGGTGATACTCCCAATTTGCGTCCTCTGGAGAAACAGCAATTACTCTTAAAATTCTGAGACACCTCTCCACATACATATTTTTTTATTCCAGAGTTTTCTGTCCCTGGTAGCTTAGTTCCTTGTGTGTGGGCAGAACCTGCCAATGGGATACAGAAAGTGGAGTTTCTTCACCTCAGGAAAGACTGGAAGCAGAGTGAGTGGCAACAGGAAGGGCCCAGACAGGCTCGAGCCCAGGATGGTATGACTCCATTGACCACTTCCTTTAACCTGCTCCCTCTACAATTTCGCCAACTCTCAACTGCTGCTCAAGTTGTGAATCTATCAGTGCATTAAATTATGCATTCATCAATGCCTTGTTCATATCATTATATCCAGAAATGTCCTTGGACATACCAAGTAGTATGTTTTGCTTATTTCCCAGGATTTCAACCTAATCAGGTTAACAATCACGACTAACAAACACACTAATTCCCTCATGAATGTTCCTGCATTATACTCACTCCTGTTATTTACATTTACATGAGAGTGACCACGTCATTGAAAATTCCAGAACTGAAATGTGAGAGTATTCCAGAGATCAGAAAATAAAAGTTGAAATTACAGAGAGGATGTCTTTGGAAAGTGATTTCTGTGTCACAGACTTTAAATTATCTTTGCTATTCTCTCAAATATTACAATAAAAAGAGGCTCTTTTGAATGACTGTTGGTGCCTTAATATTTTCATGTATTTCTAAATAAGTTTTTGTGTACATTATATTTCAAAACATTTGGACCTGGACTTGAGAACGAATCTTCACCATTTACCTGCAATGAACATTAAAATCATTACCATATTCCAAACCCAAAATTATTTGTTACCGTAGAATAAAAGCCAAGAGCATAAGGAAACAAAAGACAAGTTACAATAGCACAAGGAAAACGTATTTACTTATGGAATTAAATTTTTTTTAGCTTTTTCTAAAATTTGCCAAGATTCTCTCACAAAATTATGAGCAAAATTTATTTTTTCACTTTCATTGATATTCGAGTTCATTATAAATCGGTGAATTTTCATTTTTTAATTTATTTTTCTCTCATATATTACATCCCAACTGCAGTTTCCCCTCCCTCTGCTTCTCCCAGTGCCCTCCTCCCCTATTCCCCAGATCAATTCCTCTTCTGTATCCCTTCAGAAAAGAGCAGGCCTCACAGGGATAGCAACTGAACATGTCATAAAAAGTTAAAATAAGACTAGGCACAAACCCTCATATCAAGGCTGGATGGGGCAACCCAATAGAAGGAAAAGGGTCCCAAAAGCAGGCGAAAGAATCAGGGACACCCCCCCCCCCTACTCCCATGTTTGGAGTCCCATAGAACATGGAAGCAGTCTAAATTTGTGGGTGCTATTGTAACAAAATACTAGATATTGTATCATTTATAAATAACAGGATTTTATTGTTCATAGTCCTGAAGGAAGGAAACCTAAGATTTCTATGTCAGTAGATTTAATGTGTGGTAAGTAGTTTCTACTTCCAATATAATACTTTACTACTGCTTCCTCATGTGGTAGGAAGCAGTATGCAAAAGCATCTTCAATATACCATCAAGTGTTAAATTCATAATCCTATGAGAAAAGAAGGCTCTTTTACTATCCATTTTGAATTAACAGTTTAAGACTGCATTAGAAGATAGGGTAGATATGCTTGGGGGAAGGTTAGCTTAGAATAAATTTTCAGTAAAATTGATGACAATTCTCTCAAG